CCTCAGGTGGCTACGTGGGTTCTATACTGGGCTGTGCAGGGTCTATGGTGAGCTGTACGGACTCTCCGGTGGCTGTGCAGGGTTTATGGTGGGCTGTGCGGACTCTCCGGTGGCTACGTGGGCTCTATACTGGGCTGTGCAGGGTCTATGGTGAGCTGTACGGACTCTCCGGTGGCTGTGCAGGGTTTATGGTGGGCTGTGCGGACTCTCCGGTGGCTACGTGGGCTCTATACTGGGCTGTGCAGGGTCTATGGTGAGCTGTGCGGACTCTCCGGGGCTGTGTGGGGTATATGCTGGGCTGCTCAGGGTCTTAGGAGGGCTGTGCGCTCTCACCAGGGGTTACAGTCAGTCTCGGCAGGTGTGGGCGACGTGGATCCACGAGGAGGAGGTTTCTGCCGGTGCTGTAAAACAGGCGCCGCGATTCACAGGAAGGCTACCAGGACCTTGCCAGTGACCTCGGAAGCCTTCCTGTGAAGCCCGGCGCCTGTTTACGGCACCGGATTCGGATTAAAAATGTAAAGCTGCAGGAGAGGTGTGAGGGCCACATAAAAATGGCCTGTCGGGCCGGATTCGGCCTGTGGGTCTTGTGTTTGATGCGTGACATCACATAAGATGTGTCATGTAAACGGAAAGGTTTTATATTAGCATGTTGATGGGGGAGGGGGAAGGGAGGGACCCAGGAAAGCAAAATATAAACAGACTCCTCTTCAGCTTTCATGTCACAAGGCCACCAGTAGGGATCACATGTCCTGAAACAGCTCCGGGAAGCCAGATACATTGTATCTTATGAAAGCTCCCCGAGAGCGCGTGATTGGCCGGCGTGTGCCCCCTGTGGGACAATCTGATTTCAGCATTGACTTGGCTGATGTGAAGATGTGATAATGATACGAGGCCTCGGGGATTACCCGCCGCCCACAGGAGTCATTCGCAGGAGGCCGAAGGATACAAAGTGATACAACGCAGCGATTCCGCCGACGCAATGCGATACAATATGAACAATCTTTGTGCGTCCCTAAAACGGCGCCATCGTCTCCGCCAAACAGAAGAAGACAAATCTGTGTCTTCCAATCATTTCCTTTCCAGGACCGAAGAACAAAATGTTTTCATTTCTTAAAATTTCTTTTCAGGAAAATATAAATATTTATCAAGAAAATATTAAAGAAAACTTCCTGAGAGTGACAACGGTGAGCCGGGACTGAGCAATGTGCGTCAGCGCAGCCACTTGTAGCCTCCACCGTGGTGACAACACAGGAGCACATGGACACAGCGTTGTCACCCTATGACTAGAAGTGCCTGAACATGGACCTCCATGGCGGGATCAACCGGGAACATTTTAATGAAAGCCGCACCAACACCGCTCCTGACCGTTGTGAACTGCGCTGCCATTGGGTGAAAGAAAGTCATGTGACCACTTTGTGGATCTTCATCTCAGTGTAACTGGCTATGGCGTTGTGTCAGCGGAGGGCGGTGTGTCGGTGGAGGGCGGTGTGTCGGTGGAGGGCGGTGTGTCGGTGGAGGGCGGTGCGCACTTTGCAGCAAGTCAATGATTCCCCTTTATTCAGCCACTTGGGTGCAGCATGAAATCTGACGCACTTTGTGAACGCGGCGTCCGACTCCGGCGCATATATCAGCGCAGTGTGGACCGCGGCAGCTGCTCTGGAAGGGTTAATCAGCGTGCAGACTCTGCCAGCATACAGATTTTCCGCACCAGCAAACCTCGGCGGCGATTGTGGATTTGATGAATCACCCTATTAAGAGGCAAAGCGTTCCCTTCCATAGAGGCGGCGCGGGCACCAATCGCCATCCGAGCGCACGCAAAACACATCCGTTATCAACGCGCACAGCCGCGTGCGGCATTTCCTGCGCTCTCCAGTCACCGTGGCGTCCGTGCCGACAAGCTAAGAGCGAGCTTTGATGGCTGGGACGTATAGGCAAGAGGTTCTGCAGCATCTGCCGCCGACATGGCACAGGGATTGGGGGGGAGGGGCACAGAGATATATAAATACCCGGCGGGGCTGGCGGAGAATCGGCGAGGTGTTGCCAGTCCCTCTGGGACGTACGTTGGCAACATCCGGAGGGTATTCAGGAATACAAAGCTGGCGCGGCCGCCGGTGTCTGGTAGGATATAATTACACTTGGCAGGACAACAACCTGAGATGGAGGAGACGCCGCGCCAACATCCTCCAATTACATGCGGACATCGCGCCGGGCTCGCCGGTGGCAGAGATCTGTACACCTGTACC